AAAAGTAAAAAAAAAAAAAAAAAAAAAAAAAAAAAAAAAAAGAAAGAAAGAAAGAAAAAGGGGGGAAAAAGGGGAGGGCAGCGTCTACTCCCGCGGTCCGATTTCTCCTTCAACAGCAGTTTATGGCCAGAGTGTGGTTTCAGAGTGTCTGTCTTCTCCTTTCCTCCTCTCGCTCCTTCTTCCTTTCCCCACCCTCCCTGGCTTCCCCGACTCCCCAGATAACTGCCTTGCGCTTAGCTAGTCCTCAGCGATGGTACCCCACCAGCTTCGCACATGGGCTACTGAAGAAGGCTCCAGCTTCAGATTTGGGGGCATCACCGCAGGTATAGCAAAGTCCCTCCTTGGGGAGAGGAAGCAGACCTCATCACCTGTTAGCTCTCTAGTGTTAGCTACTCTCCAGGTGGGGCTGGGGGAGAGGGGAGGTGTCAGGTAAAGTGTAAAAGGTAGGGGTGGAAGGATTTAGAATACCACTACTGCTCATTGCTAGCTGTGTGACCTTGGGAAAGTCATTTTCCTATCTCTAGGCCTCATTTTCCTGAGTAAAATGAAGGAGTTCGACTAGAATAGAATGTTTTAATTTCTCTTCCAGCTTGGGTCTAGCGAGGGAGCTAGCTAGTGTCGAAGCTGCCGCCAGAGGGCTCTGCTTCCCTGCTAATCCTGGGGCTGGGCCTTGGGAGGCCCCGCTGAGGAGGCCTGCAGGTGTATCCTGTTCTCAAAGAAAATAAAATATTTTCATGGGAAACTTTTTTCCCCCTTCTCTTTTGTGTTTTTCTTTCTCCCTCCTTTTTCTATTCCTCCCTCCCTTTTTTCTGTGGGGCAAGATCCATTCCTTATCCTACCCCTCCCCCTTAGCCGGTCCTCAATTCAATTTCATTGTATGTCAATGTAGCCAGACCTAATTAAGTAAGATTTTTGGAAAGTACTTCTAGCATCTGGGATGAGAAGGCACCTTAGGATGTCAGAATTGGGTGAGATCTTAAAGGCTATCTAGTCCAAGTGCCACTTTTTACAGGTGGGGAAACTGAGATTTGGACTATCTGATCTCTGGAGAGCCCTTCCCAGTTCCAAATCTATGATCCAACCCAGGTCTTCTGTCTCCAAATCCAGTGCATTTGACAATCTCTTTTCTAGGATGACGTTTCAGATGCTGTGAGAAGACTAGCACTTACCATCTTCTCTTTTAACACTACCAAATCCTTTCATAGGTTCTTGACTTAGGTGAGCTGATCTGGAGGTCTGGCTTTTTCAGAGTAGCAGTCAATTTATGACCAAAGTCTCCACTCAAGGATGGTTTGGTAGAAGGAGTCTGGCTTGGTAGTACAGGTCTGGCTTTGAGTATCAGCCACATACTACCCGTGTGATTTTAGAAGAGGCACTTCCACATTCCAAATCTCACTTTCTCTGTAAAATGAGGAGTTTAGACCAGTTGATTTTTGAGGTCTTTTTCTTCTCTAATATTCTGGGAGTTCAGATAGTCATATCTCCCCTTGTGCCTGGCCCTGTTATTGGAGGTGGGATGTATACCTGTTCTTCATTAGCTCCCAATTTTATGCGGATCCAGGATGAGCAGGTGAAAGGGTTGGGGATGAGTAGGCAATATAAATGCTGAATGTGATCAAATGAAGCGTCCCATAAGACACCTAATCCAAACTTCTCATGGATCCCTCTCATCATGAGAGTCATAGAGTAGTTAGGGAGGGCTCTGTGTTAAAGTGGCATTTGGAGTAGACTTTGAGGGATGGAAATATAGGGAAGGAGCTGGGAATTTCTTTAGTGGTAGAAATAGCATGCCAGGCCTGGAATTAGGAAGACCTGGGTTCAAATCCGGCCTCAGACACTTAATAACAGCGTGACCCTGGCCAAGTCACTTCACCCAGTTTGTCTCAGTTTCCTCATCTCTAAAATGATCCGGAGAAGGAAATGGCAAGCCACTCTTTGCCAAGAAAATCCCAAATGGGTTCACGGAGAATTGAACATGACTGAATAAACAATAGGAACAGCATGGACAGAGGGCTGAGCATGGCCAGTCCAGTCCAGCGACAGCAGGGAGATGATCATAACTCATGTTTCTATAACACTCTTAAGTTTTTGAAAAGATAAGCAATAAAATGAAAATTATTTCCTTTTTATGCCAGGAGAAACTGAGGCAGAGGAAGGATGATTTGGTGTGACAAAATAAGTTTTAGAGTAAGATTTGAACTCGGGTCTCCTGCTGTCTCTTCCTGTCCTCTTTTTGTTTCCACACGACATCTGTCAGGGTCTCCAAGACCACAGGAATTTCTCTGACCTGCTGTTTATTGATTATTTGTTTAGGGATAACTTAAAAAATGTTTCTATCTTCCAAACCCCTTTTTCTTAAAGTAATAATTTGACACTTATTGGAATCCCTCATCTTGACCATTCATTGTGAGAACAGCATGATTTATGCTACAGTGGAAAGCCCTGGTTGGACTTGGAATCCGGAGACCTG